TTGGCGCAGGCGGAAGGGGGATGGGAAGACCGCAGAACGGCTACGGCGGGCGCGGCAGCGGATACGGTAACTACAGCGGCGGCTATGGAGGCAATGACGGCTACGGTGGCGGGTATGGGGGAGGCTACGGGGACCAAATGGAGGGCTACGGCGGTGGTAACGGCTACAATGACTTTGGCAGCGGCTATGGCCAGCAGTCCTCTGGTTATGGCCCAATGAAAGGTAATTACTCGGGCAGAAGCAACGCTCCTTACTCCCGAGGAGGAGGAGGTGGTGGTGGTGGTTACGGCAGGGGGGGTTACGGAGGCTCGTATTAGGAGCGTATATTAGGTCACAAATTAAGAGCAGCTCCTTCCCCAGCCCACATCACAGTTTTGACCACACATTATCTTCAGCTAAGTAGCCAGATTGAGCCACCTTAATGAGGCATGGCATTGACTGAAACACTCGAGCTCCATTCAGGAGTTCACAACTTTATCCAGCCTAGCAGATCATAGGTAACGTTAGGGCTCACCTATCCGACTTTACTCAACATCTCACAGCTGTTACTGCTACTACTACACATCCTTTTGCTCTTTTCCCTGAAGTACTAGGGAGTTTTTTTCCCCAGCAAGACATAGGACTACTACTCCGGATCTCTACTTATTATAAGACTGGCCAGTGGTGTCTTGGCAGGCTACTTGTTCGGGAAACTGTTACTCACGTTTTTTGTGCTTTGGGGTTAAGTTAAGAGTAGTAGTTTTTGCTTGTTAATTATTGTATGCATGCGTTTATCTACTTTTAGTATATGTATTGTATTTTTATTGTGTGTTTTCTTTTTAATACATTATAGGGTTGCAAAACGATGAATCGCATTCAAAATACATGTTTACATATTTTATGTTTGTGTACTGTGTATATTTATGTATATATAAATACACACGTGTATACAAAAAGGAAAAATGTTAGATTTATATATAAAACATACTATATGAAGTATAAATATATACATACAATTTTTTTTTTAATATATACATGACTGTGTATTTATATATCCATAATAAATATACACAGTGCACACACAGTTTGTAAATAGACATTTATTTTGTATGCGATTAATCGTTTTGCAGCCCTACATTTAAATTTGGTTTTGATTGAGAGCCAATCACAGTGACCCCCTGTAGAGATTAAAAAATTCATTGGCTGGCAGCAGGCATGATTTGCATATCACATGATCTGTTGAGTGCATCAGTACCTGCAGTAAAAATCCCATTCGTTTTCTTCATAAAACAAGACCTACTGTGAGCTATGAGGTTAATTGATGTTATATGCATTTGTTGAAGCCGTCAGTGGGCATTGTTTTAACTCATTTTGCAAATGTTAAAATTAACCATGATTCTTCAAAAAAAATCTTTAATAAAACATGTTAGTGCCCACCCACTCCCATGAAGCATGCCGCATGATATAATTATATATTTAAAATATATAAAATATATATATTTACTTATTTTGCAATAAATGTAACATTTTGTTTCTATATACACACTCAACGTCTTTAAATCAATAGTTTAATCTGTCATTCGCAATGCTTCTTGGGATTGCAGTACTTTTCATCGTGCACCCATTTTGTTTAAAATAAAACGCAAAGCTGATTGAGGGAATTATAACGCTTTACTTTTGAAAAATGAATGGAAAAATACTCCAGAAAATCAAGGCAGCTGAAAAAGTGGACACTGTTGAACTCAATTTGCTGCAGAGTCTGCCGCCAACCAATGAAAGATTGAACTTTTCTTTAATTAGGCTCGATGGCAACTAGAAGCTGTTCGTCCTAACATAAGAAACGTGTTGGAATAAACAGAAATTTCTTTGGCGTCTCAAAACCGTAGCAAGTTAAAGAACTAGTTTCAGGCTCACTAAAACAGCCCTCAACATCCATTAATATAGCGTGTGTCTTGTGTCTCCTCCCAATTAGTGACATTTGTTAAATAGTTCAAGCACATTATGAAAATATTGTGTTACAACGTTTCTACCGTTTTAATCAATTAGTAAAGGACTTAAATGCTCTTGTCTCATTGTATTACTGCTTCAACGGAATAACCTATTGAATATTGTTTATTTCAGATACAACTGAACTGTATGTATTTCTGTTAATAAAAGTCATTATTCCGTAGCCAGTATGGTTTATGGCCAGCTGAGATTTATTGGGTCGCATATGAGGCCCGTGTAGCGATTCAGTCTTTTCATCTAGGTAAGACTAAAACTGGAGGCCAGCCTTTGCCGTCATCAGGCATTGGCTCTAGTGCTCCATATTAATGACATTTCTTTGCATCAGACATGTGGGGATGTCAATATTTTCCCAACCATATGTTGTCTTTATTCTTAAAATATGTTTAGAGCTTTGTTCCAATACTTTTAGTGATCAAATAAGACGGATCTATACCTTAGCTGTGTCCACTACTACGTCATTGGATTCTCCAGGGCTACTCCAGAGATGTAGAAACCCAGCTGAAAATCCATAGGATAAACGCACCAGGTTTGTAGAAATGCTTTATACACCAGACATTGCATCGGGTGTGTCTTTAACATACTTTGGATCCACCTGGAACGAAATCAGGTATTTGTGAGTCGTTAACGTAAAGCGTGCATGCAACTTTATTTCAGCATTTCCTAAATTCTAGCTGTGAATAGCGTTAACTGGCGGTGACCATGTAACATAGAGGAAAAGTGGAAATTAGAACATGCTCTGTAGTTCAATGTGGTGATTGTGGTCTATGTAGTTATGTCTTAATCCAATATTTTAGCCGATTTCCAGTTTAAGGTCAAACCGGAGAACGGAGCTTATAGTTCCTGTATACTTGACGCATTAGTTCCAGATATTAATGACATCAAATGCAAAGGAGATCAGCATTTATTAAGCAAGGTTTGTGCTTTCAGTTATTTACCTTACATTTTATCAATCCCCCTCCCCTCCTCATCTCGGTGTTTTGTCCTACATTTCTGGCAGTCTAAGAGGGCAGTGGGTTTTGTTGATAATCGAGTGAGACTAGTGAAAATGCAACTGTACAACCTCTTGGCATTGGCCTTTTCAAAAGTGCTGTCATTTTCAAAGCACACCTCCTACATAGACCCTTCTTAAAGGCACAGTGTGTAAATCTGAAGGGGTTGTGTAGCTAGACATGTTTCAGGACACCGCTTGTTGACTTGACGCTTACATGCATCTGCATCTGTCTTCTTTTTCCACAGAGAGAACGCAATGGAAGGATTTAAATAAAATCTCACTTTTAAGCGCGGCTGCTTGATGAACCTCTGCTGCAGCTGTGAATCCAGATGCTCTGAAAGATGAAAGAACTCCAGTGAGTTTGGTAAGCAGGTTCTTTTTTTAAATCCGTGTTATACAGAAAGTCACACCAATTATATTTACAGAATTTCCTTTTTTCCCGTCTTTGCGTTCGAGCAGAGTTTGCATATGAACGCATATGCCAGATTCCCGTGGACCTCCGAGAGGCAAGATGCTCATGGTAAGATTTTGTACGTTAAGCCCTGACAATGAATGTCTTGCATTTCAGTGATTTGAAATCAAAATATTTCGATTACATATAGGGCTTAAGCGACAATTAATCGTTCAAAGTCCACTTGCGGTATTCTAGGTGCTTAAAGATTTCTAGGTGCTTTTTTTTCTCTACAGGTTATCTTAAGGGTTTTTCCATTGTTTTAATTTAGTTTAACATTATTATAATGTGCTTATATGTAATTTTTATTTAAAGAATAAACCGATCCAATGTAAAGTTGACATGAGGCTTAATACTCTAGAAAAGCAATACGTTTTTCAGTTAGTGTTTTCAGCTTGTTTATTTTCATCTAAAAATATGACGTGCATTTGTTTCAAACAATGGTATAACGCTATTCAAAACATAATGTAAATTGCGATAATTGTAGTTTAATAATCGCAATTACTATTTCAAGGGAAGAATTGACCATTATGATTTGTCATAATCGTGCAACCCTAATTACGTTCTCCTTTTAAGTTTACCATGGTTTGTCAAGCATCATGGTCTTTTTGTGGGCCTTATCACTGAGATTTGCTCACGTCGCTGGAAAATGTGTCTTCTGTTTGTTTTATTACAAAACTTGTAGAAACATACAAGAACAGGGAAATGAGACATGAATATATTCCTATAAAGAGGACAGAAAAGGACAGAAAACAAATATTCTGGATTTGCGTACGTCAATTTATGGTATTATCTATACAGAAAAGTACAACAATAAAATTACATCATTTTAGAAAAGTTATAATGCATCAAACATTTGGCACTCTTTGTTATTTGTAAGTCTAAGAGATGAAACAAGAGAATCAAGTTCAGCAAGAAAAAGGGGGAAAGACAAAGGAGATTTTTAGCCATTTTTGCTTATGAATGAAAAATTTTGCATTCGATACAAGAAAATTAACAACATATTCATCAGATAATAGCTTTCATAATAAAAAATAACATCTTTGAGGATGAAAGTATGGGTCACATCTGTAAGGTTAGATACATAAGCGCTTAAATCAACCCATAATTAGTTGGTAATACTACATTCAAAAAACAAATGGGCAGCTGTTTCCTCAAAACCACAAAATGAGCAAGACTCATCAACTTCAGAATACGTAGAAATAGACAAATCAACGGGATAAATTTTTATTAAGGATTTAATAATAAATCTCCTTAATCTTGTTAGATGTACAAAATTTACTTGGCAAAAGCTAGGCCTTTCTCCAATTTATATTTGTTATAAAGGAACCCCAGTAGAATTTCCCTCTTGGAGTAGGTTTCTTTGTCTGAAATATTTTGGGAATATGTCTGTTATTGCATTTCCGATCTAAAATATTGATACCACCTAGGGTTGCAAAAAGGTGGAACATTTCCACTACATTTAGGAAAATTTCCAGGATTTTTTGGAATATTCCAGGGATTTTAGGAAGTTTACCACCCCTTTGCAATTTTGGAAAATTTCCAGGATTTTGTGGAATATTCCAGGGATTTTAGGAAGTTTACCACCCCTTTGCAATTTTGGAAAATTTCCAGGAGTTTTTGGAATATTCCAGGGATTTTTGGAAAGTTTCCGGAAATTTTCCACCCCTTTGCAACCCTAATACCACCCAAACGTAAAGCCGGATAAACACTGTTGCCTTTACTGAATCTAAGGCAATTTTTGATTCACAGGGTTAACATTTTAGGGTTAAGCCTACTGGGATGGCTCTCATCAAAGTATTATATGTGTCTTCTGTTTGTTTTTACAGACCTGGTGCCAAGATGATGCCCTGATAATGGTACGTGGAGGGCGACTGCATTAGGTTCCTTTGACTGGAGTTGAATCAAATGCATAATGGCAAAGTGCACATGAGCACGAATAAACATGGCGTTGAATGTCTGATGAATTCAATAAAAAAATTAACTGGATATCTTTTGAGTCTGTTATTAATGTTTGAATGCATCAAGTGGTGTTACACAGGATGGAGAAAGGATAAAGAATGAGTAACGTTTACACTATAACACAATAAATGATTAACTTTCATATAGCTGATAAGGGCCACAGAAGCATGTTAGAGTGATTGTGTTCTGAAGAGTGACCGATTGTGTCACTGTTGCTAGGCGACGCGCTGATGATGGAGGACCGTTACGACCATAGACATAAATACCTAGACGCCTCATTGGCCGCTCGTCCGCACGTCAACGTCGCCGCCATATTGGTGCGGGCAACTCATATCGGGACAGAAGAAAACATACCTGACTCGTCGGCAGCTTGGGCATCTACAAACCGTCACACAATAATAAAAACAGATCTCGGGGTATTATCTTCCACAGGTAAGACTGAACAGTTGTTTCTGTATGTTTTTTGGTCATTTTTAGCTTTATGTTAACAGCTTAATTAGCCACCAGTGTCAGACTTAATAGCTAGCGATATCGCTAGTAAGCTGTGAAAGCTGGGACTTTATATGAAATCAAAGTTTAAATGAATTCTTAAGTTTTAACTTTTATATTGTAGTTTATATCATAACGTAAATTGTGTTGTGAGCACAATATGTACAGTGAGCACTTTGACAAGACGATGCCAGACTGTCAGGATTAGGGATGGAGCTAAATCATCTCTCTTTAATTTCACTAACGACGCTCTCGGGTGTAAAGGTCCGTGAGCCCAGCGATAGCTGCGAGCTGCTAACCAGTCAGGTAAACAACCCCGGCCATCTCATGAGAGACAGCACTGAGCACGAAACAGCCTGATGAAAACGTTCAGCACTCGACTGGAGGCTTTAAACGAACGCAGACGTCAACAAACGAATGCCTGAGACTTACAAAACCTGCCGAAGATGATGTAGCAAGCTAACTTTAGCCGTCTGCCTAGCGCGATCTGCTCAAACCATGGACTGTGACGGGTAAGTGTGTGCTGTGAGGGGGGGAAAAAAGATGCAGTTAACTAACAACATGTGTTTTTTGGTAAAGAGGAAACCGACGTGACTAGTAATAGATAAAGCTGTCATTTGAACCGTAAAACGAACTAAACGCATTCTGACTTGCTATTAGTACTATTTGTAGCGGCTAAATTGCTAGCGGTCGGTTGTGTATTCACTTAAAGTCTGTATTTTAACATGTTAACATCATACTTCACGTTTAAGTGTTACACACACACACACACATATATATATATATATATAAATGATCGTAAACACCTTCGTAAATGTGTGAAATAATACTGTATTAGCAGGCCAGCAGTGCAGGAGACATTCAAAATAATCTCGTGCTAATCGTCTTGTGCAGTAACTTAACTTTAACTGATTCCCGATCGATCCACTGATGTGCTCTATAAACCCCAAATTGTAGGTGCAGAGCTGTCATGCAAAACTAGTACTAGTATAAGTTCGTTTTTGTTTCGAGCATTATGGTTAAAACATTTAACATGTTTTGATTAAACAGTTTTTTTTTATTATTGAACATGTTAGTTGCAAAGATCTCTTTGATTCTTTCATTAGATTTGGAGTCCCTTGTCCTCTGCCTAGTTTGGACTCACAGGAAGATGCCAAAGACCCAGGGCTGCACACCTTCAGTCTCACACACATGAGGAAAGCCTTTCGGCTCATGAATGACTTGAGAAGGTTGGTAAACTGATGCAACTTGTTATTTAGGTAGCCTCTATAGACACTGATGCAGTCATCCAGTGTTGCCAAACCCCTCCCTCAGAAAATCTCTAGAACCACCCTCAAAAGTCTCCATTTTTCACAAAAAGTCACCAAATATGAAAACAAAGTAAATACAGGTAAATTTGGTAAAGGTAAAGGGAAGTAAATATATATATATATACTTTACAAATGATAAAGTCGCAAAAAATAAAAAAAAGTCGCAGCTACAATGAGAAAGTAGCTAAATTTGGCGACAAAATCCCCAAATTGGCAACACTGGACACATCCCCCCTAACATTTTGAGGTGAACTGATATGGAATAGAGTTTTCATTTTAAAATATAAATAAATACAAGTTTACCAGTTCTTTACATAAAGTTGGATATATATAAGTATATCCAACTTTATCCGCATACATAGTATACTTACATATGGTGATATGTACTATATAGCATTTCTCAGCTGCTCGACTTAATGCGATTTGCTTAATGCAACTATAAGGCATGAAGATATTAAGATATTATAAACATAAAAAAAATCATGATTTTTTGCAACGCTGCTTTGGAACAATGTGTATTGTGAAAAGCACCGTACAACTAAATCTGACTTGACCTGAAGTTAATTATCAATCGTGTTAGCGTGTCTGCTTGTCCAAGATATTTCTGGCCTGCGTTCTCCAAAAGCATCGGAAGTCTTAAGTAGATCATAGAGATTTGTTGGCACCAATGGTTTCTATGATCTCTGTGTGGGCTTACAATACTTTTGGGAAAACGCTACTCGTCTAGATCTTTATTTTTATGTTTTATTTCTAATCACAGTCGGAGGATGCTTTGTGACGTTCTGCTGGTGGCGGGTGAAGTGGAGGTACCGGCACACAGAGTAGTTTTAGCGTCCTGCAGTCCTTACTTCTGCGCCATGTTCACAGGTACTACATCACATCCTAATGCTTTTCTTACACTGATGGGAGCCACATGTTCCTCATGGCACTCGAGACTTAATTTAGACCTATAATTATGACTTCTAATTCAAAAAATTAAAAAGAGGAAATTCTGTCATCATTTACTCACCGTCATGTCATTCCAAACTGAAAACAAAAGAAGATATTTTGAAGAATGTTGGTGGCCAAACAGTTTTGTTGCCCATTGACCAAAAAATTAAACAAAACAAAAAAAAAATACTGTGATTTTCAAAATAACTTCTATGCTCCACAGAAAGTAAAACAGGTTTGGAACAACATGAGGGCGAGTAAATGACGGAATTGAGGATAGACCATCTAATTATTTGCAAGGTATTTGCAGCAGCAAGAGTGATGTTACATATAAATAAAAAAATGTTCTTCCTTTTTTAAGTCTCATTTGAACAGTTTTTAAGAGTTTGTGTGTCTGATTCTGTGTTGTGCTTGATGTGTCCAGGTGACATGAGTGAAAGCAAGGCTCACCATGTGGAGATCAGGGATGTTGATGGACAGACGCTCTTGAAGCTGGTGGATTATATTTACACTGCCGAGATCGAAGTGTCTGAGGATAATGTTCAGGTAATGTACCTTTGAAGACTGTACCGTTTCAAACATAACTGACTAGCTCTTTGTGTAAAGGCTGTTTGCGCTCCCTGGCTCTGGAGATCTGGTGCTCTGTTATGAGTGCTGAGAGGCAGGGTATTTCCTCTAATTATGAGCAGAGCTGGAGAGGAAGTTTTCTGTGATGTGCACTTTGCTCTTTGTGTTGGAGCTCTGTTGTCCCAGTACGTTTGTGGGGCTTTTGTTTAGATGTACAGAATACAACGGAGGAGAACAGATGATCTGAGAAGCTTCATGTCATTTATGCAGGAGCAGCATGAAGTGGCCTAGTTTTCATCTGGATAGGATGGACAGATGCTCTGCTGGGGGTTGCGGCTGTTTATGGCTTAGTTGGTCCTTGGGGATTTTAACAATGCCATTCAGTATAGTGATTCACCCTATGTTATATTTCCCTATAGGCCAAGTGGCTATTGAGCTAAAATGTGCAGATGCGCTTTTCTATATTAGTCTTGTTTTCCCCTGAAGCCTTTACTTGTATGCTAAGTAGCTGATGCTGGGTTAAATTCATTTATGTTCCTAATTCATCATTTTACTTAATAAAATTAATTTAGTATAACAGTTGAGGTGGTGACAATAGCTTTTGAAATGATCTATTAATAATTCAGTCTCTATTAAAATAATGTTTTATTTAAAATGATGAACAATAATAATATTTAAAGTGAAATGTAATTAATTTTAGTTTCCTTACTGAATCATTACTGGTAAAAGATGAAAAATTATAGGCAGAACTCTCTCTAATTAGTATGTACACTACTATCAAAGGTTTAAGTTAGTAAGAATTTTTTTTTTAAGAAATTAATATTTTTATTAATCAAGAATGCATTATATTGATCTAAAGTAACAGTAAAGACATTTTACATGCTGTTCTTTTGAACTTACTAATAATCAAAGAATCCTGAAAAAAAAATCATGGTTTCCACAAAAATGTTAAGCAGCACAACTGTTTTCAACATTGATAATAATAAGATATGTTTCTTGAGCAGCAATTCAGTACATTAGAATGATTTCTGAAGGATCATGTGACACTGAAGACTGGAGTAATGATGCTGAAAATTCAGCTTTGATCACAGGAATAAACTACATATATATCGAAAATAATACATACAGATATTTTTTAAAAATGTAAATAATATATTAAAACAGAAAACACATTTTAAATTGTAATATTGCACAATATTGCTGTTTTTACAGTATTTGTAATCAAATAAATGCATCCTTGGTGAGCGTAAGAGACTACTTTCAGAAACATTAAAAGATCTTTTTGATTGGTAGTGTATGTACAGTATATGTATTATATCTGTGTCCAGGTGTTGCTCCCAGCTGCCAGCCTGCTGCAGTTGATGGATGTTCGACAGGTTTGCTGTGACTTCCTGCAGACGCAGCTTCATCCCACCAACTGCTTGGGCATCCGAGCGTTCGCTGACCTTCATGCCTGCACAGGACTGCTCAGCCAGGCCCACGCTTACGCCGGTGAGCTCTCTTCTTGCTTGAGTCATTGTGGGATGGGAAAAAGCTAGTCGATTAAGCAACCCACCAATATGTATTTTTATGCCAAGATACAACTTTTTGAGCACATTTGCTTTTTTCAAGCAGAGCAGCACTTCACGGATGTCATGGTGGGTGAGGAGTTCATGGCCCTTTCCTTGCAGCAGGTGTGCAGTCTGATCTCCAGTGACAAACTGACCGTGTCCACTGAAGAGAAGGTAGCACTACTGAGTTTATTGTCCCAGTTGTATCTTTTCTATTGTGCTTCTCGGTTTCTTCCTCATCCATCACATCACAGAGCCTGTTTTTAGCTCAGCCTTGCGTGATTTGTAGACAGCAGACGGGTTGATGGTTGGTTTTTACATGTACATGCTGGTGTGACGATGAAGGAGACGACGAGCCATCTGTCAGTCACTCTGCATTAGTTGCTGTCTGCTTACGAGTAACTTGTGTCTCTAGTCTGCGCTCACACACCCACTGGATGGCAGCTGTCATCTGTCAGATGCTTCAGTGTCATCTGAGCACGACACACAGGCAGTGGAGGATGGTGGCCTGGTCTGCTGTGGCTGTGAGCTGCATTCATACAATATATATAATAATTGTTCTCGTCTGTTACACCCCCAGGTGTTTGAAGCCATGATCACCTGGATAAAGCACGATAAAGAGGCCCGTCTTGAGCACATGCCTAAACTCATGGAACATGTTCGACTGCCCCTGCTATCCAGAGATTACCTGGTTCAGGTATGACTGCGCACAATTTCATAGCGAGTTCTCAGGATGTAATGATGCACCCCAGGCTGGTTGAGAATAGATACAAACGTGACGATTCAAGTCGGTTGAGATGTTAAACGAATCTTGATACGGTTGGGTTTATATGAATGTATCTCTGAGGGGAAGTGACTGTTTTCAGAAAAGTTTAGGCCTTGTCCACACTAATACGTTTTCGTTTGAAAACGCATCTTTGTCTCTCCATTTTGGCATTCCGTCCACACTGAGACTGCGTTTTTGTCACGGAAAACTGAGCTTTTTGAAAACGCTCTCCAAAGCGAATAAACTTGAAAACGCCATTTTCGCGTTGTAGTGTGGACTGTGAAAACAGAGGCTTTTAAAAACGATAACGCATGTTTATTCATGTGACACATTGTACCAATAGATATCTGTTTATGCACACTATTGCTACAGATGTGTTACTTTGTACACTCTTCATATCACAGTCCTGCACAGGCAACAGAAAATTTACTTGCGATTGCTGTTTGCGGCAAAACACGAGGGCAGTTGCGTTTTAGGTCAGACATACAATCATGAGTGAGTGCGACCTGGATGTGTCAGTTAGAGGTCGACCGATGTATCGGTTTTGCCGATTAATCGGCACCGATAGTTGATTGCTGGAACTATGGGTTATCGGCAAAAATCCATGCCGATAGTTTTCCGGGTTGCGTCTGTTGCTGGAGCAGCTGAGAAGGGTCTGCTCTCATTATACAGTGCGAGAGCGGCCTCTAGTGGTTGAAATCACTGACAGCACGTGCTATTTGTTTAGACACGTGATACTGCACGCTGAACAGAGCGGGAAACTTCAGACGCGGATTTAAATGCAGCCGACAGAAAATCCTGCTGCGCCACAGAGCGCCATTCACATAGTTTTCCATTAAATTACATTATATTTGTCCCGAATCGTTGTTATTGTACATAATGAATTGTGTATTGTGCATTTTCAGCAAAGCGTTAGAAAAAATAAGAGTCCATTTGTAACATTAAGATTAATGAAAGCTGTTTAAGTATCGTTCCTTGTTAGAGTGTGTTAATTTCAACATTTAGTATTACTATTATTATTATTATAATTATTTTTACTACTACTACTACTAGTATGGTTCAGTACTGTTTTTGTTAATAAAGCACTATTTTAGTTTTTGTTCAGTATCCATTTTAAAACTATCAGTTAATTAATCGGTATCGGCCAGTGTGGTCCAACCTAGCTATCGGTATCGGCAAAATCCACTATCGGTCGACCTCTAGTGTCAGTGAATGGTGAGATATTTTCCTAAATTAAATGATCCTGCCAGAAGAATTGCATGAAAATGTATCATGTCTGTTCCGTCTGTATCGTGTCAGTGAGCTTTTTTGAGGCTTTATGTATGCGCAATAAAGCAAATTGACCGTTTTCTGATGTTCTTGTGAACTTTTGGAAAACGTTTGAAAACGCTAGTGTGGACGTGGAGCGTTTTAAAACAAAAACACCGTTTTCAAATGTATCCGGATTAATGTAGACGTAGCCTTATGCTGCATCCCAATTTGCATACTGTTCATCCTAAATAGTATTCTAAATTAGAATTAGTATGTCCCAAATCGTAGCATGTCGAAATGAGTATTCCAAAGGTACCCGGATGGTTTACTACTTCAGGTAGAAATTTGAAGTGCAGATCCATGCACACTCTAATGGCTAATATTGCTAACAACACATGGCGCAGTGGACAAGGATTTGATTAGAACTACAAACACGCATAAAAAGTGTTAAACTACAAACATGGCGGATATGCGAGACTGAGAAAGGGGTTTAAGTGATAAATAATCAATATTTAACCTGTTGGAAAAATATTTATTTAATGTTATCCACTTTATATTTCATCTGCAGCAACGCTGTGAACTTTTATAATAATACGTTTGGTCATTAACTTTTAAATGCGTCATGCAAACATAGGAAGAGAGTTCTCGGCATGATTGACCCCGAGACTGGTAGATCAACGTGCCTCCTCATTTCTCTCCAATACGGTTGGAAATTAAACGAAATATGGATAATGTTAACATTGAAAAGACGATTGATGATAGTGCAGTTTAAATGGTGACAGGATGCACGTAACTAAGCAACAGAGCGTCCGTTAAAGACGCAGTTATGTCCCAAAGCTTGCTTACTATTCTGCTACAGACTTAAAAGTATACTTTTTCTTCACAAAAAGAGTACATACTTTTAGGGCATAGTATACGTAGGCGAATCGGGACACAGCATTAGATTAGATTATTTTCATAAGTGCAGCGCTGCTTTGTTTGCAGTGGTAACCATGTCGGGTTTGGAACGACATAAAGGTGAGTAATTAAAGACTATTAGTAATTATTTTTGGGTGAACTATCTCTTTAAAATGCAGTGGTCGCCTCTAATTTTAGAGAAACAGACAAAGAGCACAGACAAAGTCTTAGTTTGTTTATATGAAGAGATTTGTTTTATTTGTATTATTGATTTGGGATTTTTTTTAAATTTCAGTTTAGTTTTATTTGACATATTTCAGTTTCACAAAGAAATGTGCAGCATTTAGTCTGAGAAATAATAAAAGGACACCTTCTCATTAATAATTTTTCTTAAATCTCATTTTGTTAAAAAAATTGTGAGAAAATCGTATTGTGAAATCAGTATCACATCGAGTTGAGTGAATCGTTACATCACTAGCGATTTCTCTGTATTTATTGTGATTTCTTTTGTGATTTTATTCAAGCATTATTTTTAAGATTATATGTGTATTTGTACAGATTGTAGAGGAGGAGCCCTTAATAAAAAACAACAACACTTGTAAGGACTTTCTCATCGAGGCGATGAAGTACCACCTTTTACCTGCAGACCAGCGGCACCTTATAAAAACTGACAGAACCAGACCACGCACACCAGTCAGTTTGCCGAAGGTATTAATATATTCGCTTCAAACTTACAGTACTAGTCAAGTTTGGGTGTACTTACTAGTCCTTTATTATCACTAGTTTTCTGAGTGATTCACTAAGTCTGATTCAAACTGTAACTCACAAGTTAGCTTGAGGTTGCTCTGTTAAACACTGTATATATCAAGACTGCTTACCTGTATAACTACGAATGGGAAAAAGGGCAACGCACTTGCATGTTCAAAATAGCTGCAAATATGGATGCAGAGTGAAATGACTTCCCTGGATATAAGCAGCCCTGTAATTAACAGACTACTAGAGCAATCATGGCTGATAGTAAGACATTGTGCAAACGTAAAAGAAAACCAAACTGGATGCAAGGACAGCTGTTACTTCTTGCCCAACTTGTACATGAAAAGAAGGACAATTAAATTAAAGGGAAATGATCTTGAAATTTTTTCGTTCCGAGTCTGTTTGCCAGCAACAGCCATTTTAGTATGGTTTGTGATTTGGTCTTAGTGACTTGGGAGTCCTCTTAACTACCTCTTACTTTTCACAGATTTAGGAGCTGGTTTTAGTGCTAAAACGCTTTGTGAAATACTCCTAAGTTTATGACTGACACAAACATAATTTAAAAGAGTTTCTCCTAAATCGGCAAGTTAGGAGCTACTTTTATCCTTAAGATTAAGGAACATACGATTAAGTTTTGTGAATATGGTCCCTGATTATCAAAAACACTGCTTTGATTTAAATATGTTTATTATTATATCTGATTATCTCATATGATGGCTTTCAGCTTTACAACAGTCGATCATTGCGGATTCCATAAAAATAAAATAAAAAATAATAAAACCAAAATTCTCTGACTTCTCTTATAAACAACATTTATTTCCTTGTAATTTCAAAATATCACTCAGAAATGAGAGTTGGTAAACACTTTTAAGATCAACAGTCAGGTTATTAAAGTGATCAGATCTTTCCTTATAGAAGTCAACGTATTGAATTCAGTGTATTGAAGCCTGATACGCAAGCGTCCACTTCAAAACTGAGCAATGTGGCATCAATAAACTGACTACCTTATAAATTATGACTGCATTTTTTTTAACAGCTTAGTCACAGTCTGAAGACCTGGATGAATTTATTGACTCAGATTGATTTTTATTGTGAATCTGACAGGTGATGATGGTTGTAGGGGGTCAGGCGCCTAAAGCCATCCGCAGCGTGGAGTGCTATGACTTTCAAGAGGACCGCTGGTACCAGGTGGCCGACTTACCCTCCAGACGCTGTCGAGCAGGTTGTTCTCTGTTCTGTCCCTCATCTCTAAATGGCTTTTTCTCTTGGTCTTACCTAGGACTGCACGATTAATCGAATGCGATTGTCATGCGCATCTTGTCAGTGAAGCACAGTTCTGTGATCAGTAGTAAATCTCTATCCAAAAGCCAGAGGGCGCTCTCGCGCTGAAACTCCAAATACGCCCCGCAGAAGAAAGATAATGCACAAAGGGATACCGCTGCGGCCGGAAACTAACAATGAAGCTGTAATTCACTGACAAGCTACGCAAAAGCACATTCATAATCGCGCGGTTATGAAATTGATGAATACGTTCTGCGATTACGAAAGCAGTTTGCGTAGCTTGTCAATAAACTACGGCTCTGTGTAGTAAACGCTGCTCCACCTGAAGCCGCTTCTGTATACCATCGAGCCTTTACCCGGTGAGTTTGAGTCGTTTGTAACGTGCATTTGAAAAAGCAACATCTTTCCAAACATGAGAAGTATTTATGAACCTCTTGTCCCACAGAATACCACATTTAATAATATGATTTTATTCCGAACTCATTTAGCATTGCATTATAAATATACTTTATTGTAGTGGAAATTCTAATAAAAAGAACTCCAATAAACCATATATAGTCATAGTCCTGTGTTTATTATTAGTCATGCTGAATCATGTATTCTGTTTCCTGGAACAACTTGCATTATCTTTCTTCTGCGGGGAATATTTGGAGTTTCAGCACGAGAGCGCCCTCTGGCCTTCGGATGGAGATTTACTACTGATCACAGAACCGTGCTTCACTGAAAGATACGCACGACAATCGCAGCTTTTGCTTAATCGCGATTACGATTTAATTTAAATTAATAAATCGTGCAGCCCTAGTCTTATGCTCTGCGTGCGTGTCATGTAGGTGTGGTGTATATGGCCGGTAAGGTGTATGCGGTGGGGGGATTTAACGGCTCCCTGCGTGTGCGGACGGTGGACGTGTATGATGGGCTGAAGGAGCAGTGGAGCTCTGTTCCCAGCATGCAAGAGCGCCGCAGCACTTTAGGAGCAGCTGTACTGGGGGACCTGCTGTATGCTGTCGGGGGCTTTGACGGGAGTACAGGTATACCTTTGAAAAATTAATTTCAGGATGTATTCGTTCAAAAGTTTGGGATCAGTAAGATTTATTTTGAAAAAAAACAACCTTTTATTTAGCAAAAATGCATTAATCAGAAGCGACAGTCAGTGCTGATTACATGTAATCTGGATTAGGTAATCAGATTCCCAAAATTAAGATGCTCATTTAATTTTAAAATGCACATAATCGGATTACAGTTACTTTTTATGTATTACAAAATCACATGATTAGAAAATTATTCATAATTTTTTAATCCTAATTATTATTTTTTTCTCTTTTAATTTTTCTTTCTAAAAATCCTACTCATCATACCATTTAGCTTTGACTATATTCACAAATGTTGTGTAAATAAATTTGTAAACCATGCTTCTGAATTTGGGTGCAGAAAGAAACTTTCAAGCAATTAGACCATGCATGAAACAAGTAATCATGCAAGTTACTGAACACTGGTGATGTACAGCTGTGGAACACAGTCTTCATCATGTCCAATCACCTTCAGTAACGGTTGATTACTGACCCTGCTGTAATGTAATGCTTAATGCATTTTATGATGTTGATATCAATAAACTAAAAACATTTTCTTTCTTTTGCTTTTTTATATCAATATGGTATGTTTAACGGTAAGTTTAAAACAAGTTTGATAAACATACAGTAATCTAAAATGAGTAATCTAGATTACGTTACTGAATAGAGTTTTCATGTAATCTGTAATCAGTAACAGACTACAATTTGTAAGTAATCTACCCATTTTATGTCACTAAAGATTTCCGTTTCAAATAAATGCTGTTCTTTTGACCTTTCTATTCATCAAGGAATTCTGAAAAAAATATACATCACATTTTACACAAAAAATTGAAGCTGCACAACTGTTTTCAACATTGATAATAATCAGAAATGTTTCTTGAGCAGTAAATCAGCATATTAGAATGATTTCTGAAGGATCATGTGCAACTGAAGACTGGAGTAATGATGCTGAAAATTCAGCTTTGATCACAGAAATAAATTACATTTTGACAAAGTTATATGAAATTAAAATATTTTACTGTATTTTTACTGTATATTCTAAATAAGTAAATGCGGCTTTGGTGAACAAGAGACTAAATAAATAAAATAATCGCACCAACCCCGCATTTTCGAACAGTAGTGTAGCGTATATTTTCAGTGAACTGTATGTTCACAGATGACTCTGCCTGGTTTAAGCACATGCACAAGCAGTGTCATCATTAGCCCTGTTTGACTGACATTTTGGCATTTGTTTGATGAATGTCTCTCGGTAGGTCTGTCGTCAGTGGAGGCGTACAGCCCCAAGGCTAATGAGTGGATGTTTGTGGCTCCCATGAACACCAGGCGCAGCAGTGTTGGGGTGGGAGTGGTCGACGGTGAGCATTTTGAGTTCATTTGTGTTGATTAATCAACATATGCTCAACGTATTGAGGTTCAAGTGCAAACATGGTCATGAAATTATGCATGCAACAATAAAAGATGATTTCACAATATTTCACCTTTTGGCTGTTGTTGTTACATATTTAAACTGTGCAGCTGTGTTAGCTTATGTAGATTGTTTGTGTAGTGATTTCACATAGTGTGTCTGATGCTTGTACAGGAAAGCTTTATGCTGTTGGAGGATATGACGGAGCGTCCCGGCAGTGTTTGAGTACTGTAGAGGAGTATAACCCGGTCAGTAATAAGTGGTGCTATGTGGCAGACATGAGCACTAGACGCAGTGGAGCTGGTTAGTTCCTTTTTGGACATGATTTGAATATGCACTGGGCTCACTTCTTGCGGTCTCCATGTATTCACTGGCTGTGATGTGATTGTGTGTTTGTACAGGTGTCGGAGTGCTCAGTGGACAGCTGTATGCTGCAGGTGGACATGACGGTCCTCTGGTGAGGAAGAGTGTGGAGGTCTATGATCCTGCCACTAATACCTGGAGACAGGTGTGTGACATGAACATGTGCCGAAGGAACGCAGGTGAGACTAATGAACATTTTTGGAGGACAAATAATTGAAAACAAGATTTTCCAGTTTCATAATGCATAAAACAGCAGACTATTCTGGGTCACTTTTGACCCAGTGAGGCATAAGGTTAAAACAGCCATGGGGTCAACACAAACCATATTATATCTGATAAATAGCTTCTCATTAAACATTGAATGTGAAACATTTCAAAGTTTTGCATGCTGCAGTGTTATACTTTTTTAATAAGTAAGGAATTCTTTTACATTTCAAATTATAAATAAACCAGTGTGATGCAAGAAAAAACATTTTTATAAATATTCATGAGATTTTTAAATTTAATGTATCGTTTTATGATTTTATAGAATTAGCAGTATAAAATTTATCAATTAAGTTCAATTCCTTACATAAAACTCATGACTGCTTAAAAACAGTCCAAATTTATGAAACCTACATATTAAATTTCTAACAAAATAACATCAAAACAACATAAATATTACTCTAGAATATTTTCAAACAAAATATATTAATTTTAATGTAATGAAAAACATGATCAAATTTTCATGCAGCAGTGGTTGATCAGTAGGTGGCAGCAGAATGGACTTTTCCTTCTTCAAACCTTTTATTTGTCAAGTTTAGATTATTTGGTCATTGGTGTTTTGCTTTATATTTATATTTATATATATTATATTATATTTAGGGGGAAGTCGTGGCCTAATGGTTAGAGAGTCTCAGAGTCTCAGGGATTGTAGGTGGGGGGAGTGAATGTACAGCGCTCTCTCCCACCTTCAATACCACGACTGAGGTGCCCTTGAGCAAGGCACCGAACCCCCAACTGCTCCCCGGACACCGCAGCAAATGGCTGGCCACTGCTCCGGGTGTGTTCACTGCTGTGTGTGTGTGTGTGTGTGTTCACTGCTGTGTGTGTGCACTTTGGATGGGTTAAATGTAGAGCACTAATTCCTAGTATGGGTCACCATACTTGGCCACATGTCACGTCACTTTTCACTTTTTCACTTTAACTTTACACCGCTTTGGGCAGTAGTTAATTTGATAGTTTATTTGTCTGTTTACATTGATCTTCATGTTTATTAAAAAAGTTCTAGAAGTGTGTGTGAGATATAGGAAAGTATTTTTGAGGCAAATCTAACTCTAAAAAAGATCTCTGAGAAATACCATGTGTAAAGTTGCCATCATTTTTAAATGATTATATCTGTTTAAAAATCTAGAAAAATCGAATGGTGTATTTTGATAGTCTAGACATATTTTTTAGCAATCCAAGTTCAAAATGACCTGAATGCATTATAAGCGCTAAAGAAATCAAATGTGTGTGTGTGTTTGTGGTGTGAAAAAGTGTTAGCCCCCTTCCTGATTTCTTATTTTTTTGCATGTTTGTCACACTTTAATGTTCACTTTATAACACCAAGAGAGTGTGTGTGTGTGTGTGTGTGTGTGTGTGTGTGTGTGTGTCTGTGTGTGTGTGTGTATGTATATATATATATGTGTGTATGTATGTGTGTGTGTGTGTGACCCTGGACCACAAAACCAGTCTTAAGTGTAAATCTTTCAAAATTTAGATGTATACATCATATGAAAGCTGAATAAATAAGCTTTCCATTGATGTATGGTTTGTTAGGATAGGACAATATTTGGCTGAGATACAACTATTTGAAAATCTGGAATCTGAGGGTGCAAAAAAATCAAAATACTGAGAAAATCATCTTTAAAGTTGTCCAAATAAAGTTCTTGGAAATTCATATTACTAATCAAAAATCAAGTTTTGATATATTTACAGTAGGACATTTACAAAATATCTTCATGGAACATGATCTTTATTTAATATCCTAATGATTTTTGGCATAAAAGAAAAATCGATAATTTTGACCCATACAATGTATTTTTGGCTATTGCTACAAATATACCCCAGCGACTTAAGCCTGCTTTTGTGCTCCAGGGTCACATTTATGAAAACAATATGTCCTCAAGGGTTCCTGTCAAAAACTGGATCCGTTTCAAGACCTTTAAAATCATAGTTTATAAAAGGAGAACTGAGTTAAGTGTGTTTGTCTCTAGGAGTGTGTGCCATAAACAGTTTACTGTATGTGATCGGAGGAGACGACGGCTCGTGTAACCTGTCCTCTGTGGAGTACTACAACGCTGCTGCCGATAAATGGAGTCTCATTCCCACCAACATGAGCAACGGACGCAGCTACGCAGGTCTGCTTCACTCTCACAACCTCCATATTCAACTAAGGGGGTTTTCACATATAGTCTGTTTTAAAAGAACCAAACCCAGTTCACTTAAAGTGAACCAGACGAAAGTGATCTCAGTCCTGATAGTGTTCACAATGTAGTGGACTCAAAAGAGAACCCTCTTTAGCACAGAAGTGATCTCAGACCCTTTCTTGTTCACACCACAACTTCATAAGAACTCAGACCCCAGCTTCTGTGCAGCGGTGGTTCTTGTCAATGCTTGTTTTATTAATATAATAGCTTCGATACTGAATCGCTACATTATATTTCTCAGCAACTAGGGGGTAAAATTGATGTTTTGAAGTAACGAAACTCACAGCTTCACTGTTCGCAGAATGAGACGCACAGACGCAATTCACACATGCAACTTTCATCCCTCTCTCTCTCGATCATTAATTAAAATCAATGCATTCAAATAATTGTGATCTTACCGCACGACTTCATCTCTGTCTGATTTAAAGCGGGCAGAAAGCTAGATCTTCACTGCGCGTCGGGTGGTTCTTTGCCTCCGCATTAAATAATTTAACGCACAGTTAGCCGTAGATGACATAAATGACAACAGAATTATTTTGTATTCATAGAGTTAACATTTGGTTTGTTTATGTACTTTTGAAAAATGTAACAAGATTGAAACGTCTGAAATAACTGATTAATAATAATAATAAGACATACATAAAAATATATACAAATAATGAGTTCAACCTCAAGCATTACTGTTATGTTGGTCGGTCCGGGACCTCATTGCTTTCACAAATCGGGAGGAAATCGAACCACAAACGGACCGAACCTCTGGAGGTGGTCGGAGTATGGTTCGCTTTTGGGTCCTTTTAGGGGGGTCTGAGATCACATGTTTGTTTACATATACAAGCTGAACCGCTCTGAGATCGTTTGCAGGGCTCAAACAAACTAGGTGTGAAAACACCCTAAAACTCAACTCAACTGCTCTCTTGTCTGTTTCAGGGGTGTCAGTTATTGACAAGCCATTATGACTAAAAGTTCTGGGCAGCAGGTCTCTTCGCACCTGTCGAGGGCTGAGCTGTGACAGACAGATGGTGATTTAAGACAAGTGCTCGAAGCTCTCCATCTCAAAGCCTGGCTGCCTCACACACACACACACACCAAGCCCTGACCTCTCCCAGTCTCCAGAAAGTGCCATTTAGCCCTGTTATTAACAGAGAGGCCATGAGGTCGCCCAGTATAGTGTGTATTAAATGAGACCTTGTTTATAGTCTGCCAGGACCGAGTGCGTATGGGACACCTACATGAGCTGGTGCAGGTGAAGATTGTGCCAACAGAGGCCTCTCTGCCTGCTTTACTACTGACTGACAACGCTCCGAACAAACACTCGCATCGCAGGAACAGTCCATATGATGTCAAAACTGTTTCTACGGGTTAACACTAATGCATATCACACACCCTTTAAAGCGGATCAGGACTGGATATCACTGACTTCTGTTGGTTGTTTATATGTTTATATGAAAAGTATTATGGGAACAACCCCATAAGTTGTTTTAACCAGCTGCTTTCGTGCCATATAGTATTGAGGATGTTAAACTGCTAAACCGATCATATAAATCTCACAGGGTAAAGGTATGGTCACATTTCAGCTTGAAATTTCAACTTGAATCCATTGTGAAGAGCACATTGATTCCTATTGAAATGACTGGAATTCGCCTGTGAAAATTCAGTAAATGTGACCATACCAGTTAATGTGCCAAATGTAACTCACAATTCATATGGATAATGCTGTATGTTAGTTACTTGTACATAAGCACTTTTCATGATGCAGTTTGGTGTGCAATCGTCCATGTTGGACACACAGCGTCTTTCTTTGATCATGATAACTCTATAGATGCAGTCACTGAAATAGCACTGGCTTGGTGTCTTTTTGGTAAAATTGCACTGTTCATCTTATTCAGTAGAGCTGGTACTATTTCAATCGCAGGTAAATACCAAGATAGCACAGGTTCATGTTAAGTTCACCATTTATCCTGTTCTATTCTGACTGGGTAATTTGCATCAGTGGTTCAACAGAACTGGACTTTGGAAGACTCTTATTTTAAATATTTAAAAATATTAAGCCTTCTTAAGTGTGCAATCGTCCATGTTGGACACACAGCGTCTTTCTTTGATCATGATAACTCTATAGATGCAGTCACTGAAATAGCACTGGCTTGGTGTCTTTTTGGTAAAATTGCACTGTTCATCTTATTCAGTAGAGCTGGTACTATTTCAATCGCAGGTAAATACCAAGATAGCACAGGTTCATGTTAAGTTCACCATTTATCCTGTTCTATTCTGACTGGGTAATTTGCATCAGTGGTTCAACAGAACTGGACGTTGGAAGACTCTTTTATTTTAAATATTTAAAAATATTAAGCCTTCTTAAGGTTCCTTTTCTCATTATTGGGTTATAGGATCTGTAAAGCTTCACTGTAGACCATTCCTGTTTACAATACTGATCATTGTGAAATGAAAACGAATTTCGTTGGTAACAAATATGAATTATTAACAACATTCCCAGCTCACATATCACATATTCTCATTCTCACAATGCCCTACTTTCTTTTCAGTTTGGATATATACTGATCTAAAAGTCATACTATGCAGTAAAACATTGCTTTTGTTCCCAGGTACTCAGTTTATTTTGTGCTATGCCTGGTGTAACTGCTGCCATTGCATTTGATGTCTTTACACATCATGATCCACAGCTCTAAAACTATGACATTCCAGTGCGGTGTATCATCTATGGAGTATGCACGAATGTGGTTTGTGAGCAAGGTATTTATGTATTTCTAAACAAAATGTATTAATAAATGAAGCTTTGTTAAGAGAATTGGATTGCTGTGTGTTGTGACTGCCAGTCTATGAACGGTCACTGGAGGGCAGCAGTCAGTCATGCACTGCCAAGATGAAAGTGAAAATGATTTTAAACACGTGATTACATATTTGCATTAACGTCCAATTTTGACCAAGCAGATTTTAAGCCTATACAGTATGTTTTGATGATTTATTCTGTGAATGTGCCAGACTTGTGTGTTCATTAGCCTCTGCTGGTAAACTAGAAGAATAACAAACAGTGTCCCAAATTACATACTATACACTGCTATGCACTATGTACTCAGTCTAGTCTAGTGTATGGACTTTATAAGTTTATGCAGCATTGAAGTCTGATAGCTCATCCTTCTCCGTTATAAAAGGAAAGCTGTGACAGCTGAATGCATTAAGTGTCCAACATTACCAACTTCCTTTTTCCAGTTAATTACTGGTCTTTGAAGGCTTTTCCGGTGTTATATGTATTGTTTTTAGCGTCACCGGCAGCAGTTAAAAGCTTCACCCAAAAATGAAAATATGCTGATATGTTCTTTGTTTGACCCTGTTGTCGGTTGCTGTGTATTTAACAAATCTTCACCTTTTGGTTTGCACTTCTGTAAGGCAATCTTAATTTCTTTTCCCGCACCTGCTCAACACTGAACAGCAGCCACGCCCCCAAACTCGCTATTGGCTGCAATTTTACAGGCAGGTAAGACATCCTATCACTGCATTCGGATGCAATGTAATGATTGGACAAACATTTTATGGTCCTGAAGCTTCCACAGATTTTAATATCATTTGATTGCTATCAGGATGTCAAGCGACTTTCAACCACTATAACAAAAATGTTTATGAAAAACATTGCCTATAGTTTTAAGTGCATACTATGGGTAGTTATGTGCACTTTTTATTGGAATTTTCGGTGTAAACACTACTCGCACTATTTATACTACAAAATAGCATAGAAAAGTGTATAAGGGACACACCTAAAGTGTAGTACATGATAAAACTAATTAATAAATTAAAGGTGTATGTAATATTGACAGCTAGCGGTTAAAGGGATAGTTCACCCAAAAATTCTGTCATTAATTACTCACCCTCATGTCGTTCCAAACCCGGAAGACCTTCGTTCATCTTCGGAACACAAATTAAGATATTTTTGATGAATTCCGAGAGCTGTCTGACCCTCCAAACACAGCAAAGATCTTTTTTTAGGTCAGGTAGACTGTGATCTTTGACTCCGTTCGTTTTTAGGCTTCCATGGATGAAATACGTGGTTTTCAACCAACTTGCAACCCGGGGTGTGGAAATACTGTTGGATAAATTGGAAGTGGGCGGAGTCACACAGACCAAAACAAAAACAGACATTCCGACACGGAACGAGACGTAGAATAACTGGCTGTAGCATTGTTTTTCAGAGAAGCAAGTATGTGAAATTAGTACGTTTCCTAAATATATGCAAACATATGGTATTTTATGCTTTAGTTCAGTAAAAAAAGACAAAGCACCTTTGAAATGAATGCAAAAATGAACACCAGTTTGCAAAATCAAGCAACGTTTACCATTGCATGTTTTCACAGACGCAGCCCAGCTTTTGCAGCAGGAATCCAGGAATTTTGTGAGGACAAAAGATTTCCCACAGATTTCACAATGCGTTCCAAGTCGGTCACAGACTCGCTGCATTGATCTTGCTCTGAAAGTGACTTCTGTGTGAGCTGTGCATCATACATTTGCACTATTGACAATGGACAGTGGTTAAGGCTAGAAGGGATACAGCTGCAGCAACCGGGCATGCGCACATCAATATAGCATCGTTTTAGTCACACTGTGCAACAATAATTACTATTTTTGCATCCTTGTAAGGGGTAGGTTTAGGGTTGGGGTAGGTGTAGACATTAATAAAACACAATCTAATAGTAAAACAAATTAATTTATTGTTAGTTTCTAGCCACAACAATGGACAATTGACCCTTTTTAAAGACTTCTTCTGTGGTGTTTTACGTTATATTTTTTTTGTTGATTTTCGAGCACTCCTACAGGCACAAAAAGACATGAACACATCAGGTAATAATACTCACAAGCTGTTTAATGGAAATACACATACTGGATACAGGAGGGCTCTCATTCCACTGATACAGACCCCGGTGCTAATTTATTGCTTCATTTTCATGGCACAAAAATAGAAATACAAATTTCTGCCATGCAAACCTACTACTGACAAGCTTATACAAAACAGGACAAAGCAGGTGCTTCACTAATACAGAGGAAATCACGCCGTTAAGATGAACTTGCGGAAAAGTGAGACGATAAAAAAACCAGAGTACAAAATAATGGTCATAAAAAAGGACGACACCACACAGTGATAGATGGGCCAGAACACGTCCGATAACAACCTGCACTCGCAGCATTCACGTGCAAGTAGTGCTTGAATAAACGAGAAACAACTGGAACAAACGAAACATACTGCATTCCCAGAATGCTGTGCAAATAATCTCCATCACCTCCTTCATCCGTCACGAACACATCCCTTCTGTGCATTTGCCAATATCAAAAACTTGACCAGTAGCTCCTCTCATCTGACCTCTCCATCCTCCCTTCACGCTCTCTTCGATAAGACTTTATCATCAGTTGAGCTCAATGCCAGCAGCACGGTAAAGCCGATACTGTTACGATATGAGCCGGCAGCTGAAAAGTGACCGTGACAGATCAGATGATATGCTGCAAAGTGCAGGAAACCTCATCCTGTGCCCTGAAGTCACATGACACATGATTATGAAGGCACTCACGTCACACATCAGGAGTCACGGTCATCTAATTATCACATTCTTCCAACTAATAGCATTATTGGTAATGAGCGGATGCTTTCAGACTGAAGCTGAATGTTGAATGTGTGCACACTGGCAAACCAAGAGTCTAGAGGTGAGAAAAACCAATAAGGACACATTAACGTACAAAATAACAAACTCCATCTATTCATGCTAACTATAGCATCAGAAATGATCTACTATGTACCACTGTGATCTAAC